CCTCAACCAAATGTTATAAAACTTATACACAATGCTTATTACCACAAAACACAGATCAAGTTTGAATTTCGGCGGCGTCACTTTAACCGTTCTAGAGTTATGCCCCTTTATAAATAGAAAAATTGCTAAATTTGTATTTATATTTTCTTCTAAATATCAAGTAATTTTTAAAATTGGAGTTATCTTCCTTTGTCCATGATTATAGTTGAATATACAATGTAATGTTTAATTTTGACTTCCACTGATAAAACACAGATCAAGTTGAATTTGGGTAGTGTCACTTTAACCATTATTGAGTTATGCCCTTTATAAATCGAAAGATTGCAAAATTTTTAGTTTCCATTCTGTAACTTAAGTTTGCCCCAACCAAACATTACGAAACCTATACACAATATTCATCACCACAAAACTAAGATCAAGTAAAAATTTTTTGTTTCAGTTTTCTAACTTTAGTTTGCCTCAACCAAATGTTATGAAACTTATACACAATGCTTATTACTACATAATACAGATTAAGTACGAAATTTGGTGGCGACACTTTTACCATTCTTGAGTTATGTCCCTTTATAAACATAAAAATTGCTGAATTTTTTAGTGTGTCTCAACCAAATGTTATAAAACTTATACACAACCGTTCTAGAGTTATGCATGTTTACAAATAGAAAAATTGCAGAATTTTTAGTTTCTGTTCTCTTAAATTAGCCTCAACCAAATGTTATGAGACTTACACACAATGCTTATTACCACAAAACTCAGATCAAGTTCAAATTTGGGTAGCGTCACTTTTACCGTTCATCAGTTATGTCCCTTTATAACTATATGATATGCAAGCGGGGGCATCATCTGTGTCCACAAATGGACACTATCCACATTTATTTTCATATTATTTACTTTATTTCTCTGTTGCTTGTACCTCAAAATATCATTTTCAATCTTGGATTTAACTGCCTTTTTTCTTAATCGGTCTCGAATTCGAATTTCTCGTCATATGTCGTTATTGAACCAGTGAGTGTTTGTCGTTATGTCTTACAGACAGTTATTCGTTTAGTAGGGATACACTCTTTAGCTATTTTCAGAAATTCTATTGTAAATATTTCACACAACTCGTTGGTGTATTTAGTGTCCGGAAGCACTGTGTTCCAGTCTATTTCATCTAACTTCTCCGCAAATTTTGATTTATCAGCCCTATCATAAAGCCATATTTCTCTTTTAAAAGATTTAAAATCGGACATTGGACATTCGAGAAATGCAATAGGTGCATCATGATCAATAATAGCGGATGGGGTATTTAGAACATTAGAAAAGGAACATGTCATAGAGTCACTTATTATAATCGGATCTAGCAGAGTGCTACTATGGTCCGTTATTCTAGTAGGTAACTCAATTACATTGGTTAGATGGAATAAATTTAATGTGTCAATCAGTTTGTTGTTGTGCGCTGTAAGTAAGTCAGAGTTCAAATCGCCCGTAATAACCATCCTCTCATTGACCTGTAATCCCATTACGATTGCATGATTTAAACGTGTCCAGTAGTTATTATCTGAATTAGGTATTCATGTTATGATACAAATAGAAAAATTCAGTCAAAATTTTGTATTCCTAAATCATTATGGAATTAAAAGTAAACTTGAAAAAAAGTTCTTCATCGATTTGAAATGAACTTTTGATTTAGGCCAAATAAAATAGTATGTGTGGTTCCAGTTACATCTAAAAAAAAGTTATGGTAAGTAGGTGGGGAATTTTGGTTATCTTATGTTTTTTTTTTACATTGAGTCTCTGGGAGCAACATTCTGACTTTAACAGAGATTAATGAAAAATGACAAAAAAATCTTTAGGGTAGGCTATTATTAAGACTAAAAAGTAGGGTAGGTAGGGTAACTGGAACTAAACATATATTTTTATTTGGCCTTATGAGTTTTCTGTAAAAGTACAAAAAGTTTTTAACTACAGCTTACTTTAACTGATATTTACCCATCATAATGCTTTACCAATTTGTTATTAATTAATACGAATTTATCAATACTTAGTGATGTAACTTAATACATCAGAAAAGTTATATATACACCTAACATATGAGGGTCTGGACGGTGTCAACAGAATAGATAATAATCCTTGTGGGCAAAATGTGCAGAATAATGGGCTAAAAAATTAAAGAATAAAAAAGAACCAATAATAAAAAAGAAAAATGGAGTTTTAAAGTATAGAGAATAGAGAATAACAAGCAAAATAGAGAAATAGAGAAAATGGTATAAAAAAAAATAACAGAACTGAAAGACCCCCAGCAAGACTCATACATTATAAAAATCTGCAAAAGAAGTAACAATAATTACTGAAAGGTTTCAAACTAAATTTTATACACACCAGGTTGGAAATAAACATAATTAAGATTGATGTAAATAGTTTTAAAAGATGCTTGTCAAAATCTGAAAAGATCTTCACAAAGAAACATAGACTTCAGATATATATACTTTATTCTGATAAACCGTTGTAAATACAAAGGTACACAGAAGAACATAGACATTATACAATATTACAAAGGTACATCTGTTGAGGAAATAAACAATACAATAGAAATACATGAGTATGTTTACATGTTAAAAATGTGCGGTGTATATTAAATGGAAGACATTAAAATATGACGGAGGAGGGAGAAAGTTAATTGAGAGAATCCACTTCATCGCTTATAATTCTAATTAAATTGCACAAATTTCTAAGCTTTGACTGTTTTGATACATTCATAAGTTCCCTTAACTTAAAAATATTACAATGGTTTGTGAACTTTTTAACTAAATATTTATTACTTTCTGTTGTAAAAAAGTTGCATTTGAGGAGATAATGGTATTCATCACCAATATCACCATCTTCGCATAAAGGGCATGTCCGATTTTCTCTTGTGATATTAGACCACCTCCCACATTCTATTGGCAGTTTATGGTTGATACAAATTTTTATAGTGAATCAATATTACAAATAAACATTTTATATAATCTAATGACTATAAACATAAGAAAAAAAAAGAACAAATGAATAAAGACAAAATTTAAATGTAGATAAAAAGGGATGATTTAAAATGATAGTATGATGACTATCAAATTTAAAACCATAAATGAAAAGTTTTTTTTATCAATTATGGCCATGATAATGAATAATAGTTCTAACATATCTTAACATCGCATGTGCCTGCCTAAGCAATTTTATTAAATGCAGGCAAGCCATTAGCATGATTAGTATGATTGCATGCACAGTGCCATGTATGCATATATTTTTTTGTCTTTTCTATTTTTTGGTTGTGTAATATATTATACATTGGAATAAAAACCTGATAAGGAAATGATTTTGCATGGGCAATCTGAAGATTGATGCTCAAATAAACTTGTAATAGATCTTTAAAAAATGTTTAAGTGTTTGCCTCCAACATAAAATTCGAATCATGACATGCATAAGAGGCGAATTAAGGGGAGAGGGTGAAAAGGGGGGAGGGGGGGGGGGTCAAAATATTGGACCAGCATCTGTGCATGTCAGGTCAGTCTGCAAAATGTCGACATACAGTTAGTGTCCGGTAATTCCTCCCGTCCGGTAAACCCGCCCACTCCCTTCTTCTTCCGTTATTATCACTTCCGTGAATATTTCGTCTGCTATTTTATTCATAGGAACTGTACTTATCATCACTGCATGTCAAATTTTAAAGAAAAATCCTTTATTACGAAAATATCTAGTGATATATATAATACAGTCCCTAAAGCTAACGATAATCATATTATTGCTTACAAAACTCGTTTCTGACTTGAAATTTTTTTTTTGATTGTCTGGAATCCCTTCATAAGTGGTCTATTAATAGATCACCTTTTCCTTTCATAAATATGTGATAAACTGGCCCTCCATACATATTTACTGCACATGGGCGGATTTACCGGACAAACACATTTCCGATAAAAACACAGATGACCCACTTGTTTTGTTGATTTTAAAATTTATTTCAGATATTTTCGGAAAATGAGATAAACTACTCAAAGTTGATTTGTCAGTGAATCGATTTATATTAAATTTGATACAATTTGTATATAATTAAGCAGAAATACATACGATCAAAGCCTTATGTGGGCGGATATACCGGACTGCATCGTAAAGTTTCTTAGCCAATGGCCAATAAAGATATGATTGTTTATAAGCGGGTACAATACTCATAGAAAGTTTGTCTATACAGACTGCCCTCGTCATGTTGACAGCGAGGCGTGTGACAAATAACCCCGTTTTTAAATAAACACTGTGGCTTTCTCTACATTCATACCCAATCGAGACTCAATCATCAATGAAATGAATATCAACGATCCTCGGCAGTAGAAGGCTTAAATAATTTAAAACAAACTTACCTCAAATATATAAGCAACATACTTTTATTAACGTGTATTTGTTGGACTGTTGACACTGATTTCTATCATAATAAGGCGCATGATCAGTTGTTCGTGACAAGCTCATACTTGACGCGTCTTGCGTATTAAATTTTAAACAAGGTACCTTTTGTTAGCTATTATTCGTATGTTTCTCTGTCCTTTATGTTCTCCCATTTATTTGTATTGTAGTCCTGTCATGTAATGTTGTCATTTTAATGTTATATTTAACATTGCCATAAAAGCGGGAGGTTTGGCTAGCCACAAAACCAGGTTCAACCCACCATTTTTTTCTTAAAATGTCCTGTACCAAGTCAGGAAAATGGCCATTGTTACATTATAGTTCTTTTCTGTGTGTGTTACATTTTAATGTTGTGTTTCTGTTGTGTCGTAGTTCTCCTCTTATATTTGATGTGTTTCCCTCAGTTTTAGTTTGTAACCCGGATTTGTTTTTATCTCAATCGATTTATGAAAATCGAACAGCGGTATACTACTGTTGCCTTTATTTGACGTCGACGGAACGCTCTAGCCAATTACGTGTCGAATAGTTTAGAAAATGACGTCAGATTTAGATTGCGATGCTATCATCCAAAAATCAGTGCATTAACCTACCTGCGTACAAACAAACAACAACGAATAGCATATTGTCCGGAGAGACTGACTTGACCTCAACAATTTTGTCCTGCCACTACGTCATACTGTACAATGTAAGTATTTAAGAAACTATATTATTCACAGCAATCTTAACCCTTTCGGCGCCAAAACCGCTAGCACGCCAAAACGACATTTTTGTCGCTTTTTAGCAGAACCCACAAACCAATAAAAATGTATATAAAAAACATCATTTTACTGCCGAAACTATAACAGGTTTGAAGAAAAATAACTGACTTTGTTCTGTTATGCAAGAATAACCCTAAAAGTCACAAATATATATTGAATTTTCCTGGTTGAAAACAATTTTTTTAGAAGTAACGTGCAAATTTTTACACAAGCTATACTCCAATTATAAACTATACATGCCTTTATTTATTAAATTTACTTAGTGAAATTCGTTCACATGGTTGACAGTAAAAAAAAACAATTGTTATTTTATTTTCAAATTGTAACGTTTATCCGAATGACGTCATCAAAACTGGTGCTGTGTGTGACGTTTGTGCGTATAAAAGTGGCAGGTACTTGAAATTACTGGTGACTTTTTGTAGTAAAACCATTGTATTTTTACTGATTTTCACAATGTGGTTTGTTACAGATTGCAAATCGTTCGGTAATTGATATCACAGTTTGATTTCTGTAAATATATTCAATAAAAACTGTTTGTTCAAATTTAGGAGGCTAGCTCGGCAGATAAAGTCGGTCGAATTCTGGAATATCTGTTTTTGAATGCACTTTTTTAACCCCGGGGGGGGGGGGTAACTCCCTATATTTTTAGTGGTACGAGTGTGCCGCAAAACAGGGTCGCTTTTCCATGCCCTGCTGGTTAGAACAGGGTCCCTTTTTCATGTCCTGCTGGTTAGAACAGAGTCGCTTTTTCATGCCCTGCTGGTGAGAACAGGCAGTATTTGTCTAGAACAGGATCGCTTATTTAACTGTTTAAGATGCAGTCTAGAAACCGGGTCTAGAACAGGGTATACATTTTCTGAGCGTGTCTAGAACAGGGTATGTTTTTCAATATTTCTGTTTAGAACAGGGTATGTTTTTCAATGTTTTCTGGTTAGAACAGGGTATGATTTGGCAAGTGCTGTCGGCACAGTTATACCCGATAGGATAGTCATTAATCCTCCCCCCGGGATTTTAACCAACATATTTCTTGAGAAACTTACCCATTAGCTGTTGGTGTAAACATATGTTGACTTCATTAATATTAAAAATACCAAAATATTAAAGTTATTAATAATTTCGACAATGTCTTTTAAAACAATTTCTGCGAAAAGCCAAATCATACCCTGAATTTTTTATTTATCATTCTAATACTTGATCATAGCATACAATTTTCATACTCTGTCTTAATTGTTCATGCGTCCCACTTTGTTGTCAATTCAGTGTTTGAAAACATGTTCTATTTTTAGTTAAGATCGTGTTTTGAATAACATATCCTTTATTTTTTTATTTACTTTTTGTCTTTTGTCATTGTGTTAGGTTTTTTTTGTGCTTAGTCCAATTCTGACAAGTCAAACTTTTTTCAAATATTTTTTTGCTATTTGTTCTAATGTTATACTGGTACACGACACCGACAGTTCAAGGTTAGAAGAGGGGATCAGCGCCTACAAAAATATACTGAACTTTTCCAAAGTCAGGAAGAAGCCTTTGGCCAAGTGGTTGTCGTTATAACCCTTTGTTTGTCATGTTTGTTTTTCGATCCTTCAATGCTAAAAGCTTAACATGTCGTGAACTTTCTCATTCTAATTGTTTCACATTGTATTACACGAAGGACAGTCTTGCATACATAAAAGAGAGACGAAAGATACCTTAGGGATAGTCAAACTCACAAGTCGAAAACACACTGACAATGCCATGGCAAAACACGAAAACTGACCGAAAGACAATTAACAGTACACACAAACAATAGAATACTAAAGTCTGAGGAGCACGAACCCAAACAAAAACTGGAGAAGATCATATATACAAAACTATTTTTGAAGGCAGTACGACGACCCGTAGTTTATAGCCTTGTCCTGATGTCTTTGGTGGTTATAGATGTCTCATTTGTAATCATTCCTAATATCATGACTTTCATATCATAACGGACTTTTTCAAAATAATACTGGTACCAAAAGAAAATTATGAATTGTTTACTTTCACAACCAAAATTGTTTAACAGTAGCTAAAGAAACACAATATATAAACACGGACGGCAGTGCATGATTCTATGCAAAAGTTAAGCTAATACTAATACTGAAAATTCAAATCCAACACACAAAATTGATATACGAACTTTTTTTATACAGAAGTTATTAACAGCATTTAGATTTTTTCAGTCCATCTGATCCATTAAAACTATTAAACTTTTGTCAGCATTTTGAATCTTTTTTGTGTTTGTTTTTTGTTTTGTTATCAGGAAAGATTAAACAAGACTCTAATCTAACTATTATACGTATGACTATATATGAAAAAGATCAAGATATAATCAAAAGAGCTAAGGAAAAGAGATACAATTATACAAAATATAACGGGGCCTTTCTTGTAATTCCGAGACCACAGTGTTGTAAGAAATGTTTCCGTTTGGCTTACAAAAATCCAAATCTCGAGGGAGCGAACATTCGTTGCGCCACGTCCTCATCGTGATCGTCCAATAGTTTATTTTTAAATTTTATGTGAAAAGCTTTCCTTATGGTGAAACCTGAATATTGCATATACCAAAGCATTGTTTTTTCAGTTTTAAAAACACACAAGAAAGGTTTGATTAATTCATGTAATTTGAAAATGTCCATTCTTGAAAAAAAGAGTTTTATTTCAAATTTTTCAACTGAAAAAAATAAAGGGTCGTCTAAAATCGTCTTAACACAAGTGCACTCTTCTTTCTAACTTTATCGTTATACAAGGGATGGGATATGAGGACTGTTTCAACCCGGCACCATTTATCTGTGTCGGTCAACGGCGGATGTTTTTATTCATGTCAGAGTTGATTTATTGTCCCAGTCGTTGTTTTCGTTAATATTTGAGTGTTTTCTTTTATTGTCCAAGAGGTTGTGTTCGTTAATATCCGACTGCTATATTTTTTTTAGGAAATGAATGCCGATAGCAAATTTTAGTAGTCTCTGATAATTTATTCATGTATACTTTATCCTTTTAGTGTTTGAAATATTGTATAATTCCGACTATCTTTTAAGACTGTAAGTTGACCTCTATATATCTTTGTTAGTTGTTTGTGTCCTGGAGTTAAAGTCTCATTTACATCGAGTCCGCATCTCTGTTTAAGGGTTTTTGAAGTAACCAGTTTGTATGATAATATACATATTTGTCCATAAGAAACAGGTTGTGAACCTTAACCTGTGTCACAGGTCAAATATTTATCAATCAGTTCATATATCCCTGGACATATTATTAACGGTAAGAATATTTGTAGTATTGTAATATACTTGAATCAACCGTTATAGCCAAATACCTACTATATTTAAGTTATTTATCTATTTATTTTGATTATTTATTGACTAATTTATCAATTAATTAGTTTACTTATCTATTTATTTAAGTATTTGTTTGTTAAATTATTATTTTTTCTACTTTACAAACTGATCTGTATTCTAAAACACATATTCCGTGTTATTTTCTTTTGTTTGTCTTTAACTTGAATTGCAATTATACAAAACGCTTCAGAAAATTACAGTGGCTTTCTATAAATGCTCATATATGCCATCAACTTTTTTGTTAGAGGAATAGGTTGTTATGTTGAAGTCCTATGGGTTTATTATTCAAAGTTATTGTTTGCCGTAATGTTATGTAAAATAATATGTCTTCTTGTTAGACAGGTTGTGAACATTAACCTATGTCACTAGTTAAATATGTATCACCTGGATATAACAACGGTAAGAATATGTGTAGTATTGAAATATAGCTGAATCAACAATTATATCCTAATACGTACGTCATTTATTTATTTATTTATTTATTCATTAGTTAAATAATTAATTATTTTATTTTTTCATTTTAAAAACTGTAACTGTACAAATAAAATTACCGAGTAATTGTCTTGTGTCTGTCTTTATATGGAATTGCAATTGTTCATTATAAATGTTAAAATATTCTTGCAACAATCTGGTCTAGCCTGTCATGTAGTGAACGATATCCAATATGATACCTATACGTATAAAATATTCAATAATTTGTATTAAACAGAAATTCCAAACATCATTTTGACAAAGAATGAACTTATAAAGAAGTATATGTGGATATAGTTTTTATTGTCAGTACGATCAACGGTCGATCAAATAGATAGTCATCAACAGAGAACGTTTGTGATGTATATCAACGTTAACCATAAATAAGAATATTTTTTTATTCCAATTAAAGGGCCAATGAAGAGCAAAGTAATTTATTACAATGATTTTAATAATTGGCACAATAATTTTGATAATCATATATAAAGACGAATATAATCAACTAAGTTCTAAGATCTTAAACCATAGCCAGACCAGATCCATAAGCATAAAAGTAAAAAAGCATAACAGTTAAATATAATATTAACAGGCAAATATTCTTAGTGGCTTAAATATAAACATAGATGAGTCTATGACAAAAAGCATGGTTGAAAATATCCCCAAAATGCAGTTAGGACTTGAAAAGCCCCTTTACAATTAATTGTGTCGTTAGATCGGATAGTCGTTCATATTTTCAAGATTAGTATTGTGTCAAGCATTAACATTTATTTGTAAAAACCACAATGATTTCTTCGCTTCGGTGTAATATCATTACAACAATGACATGGTATGTTGTGCATAGCCCTTGATTTTACTATTTTACTAAAAAAGGTGATTAACATGTACTAAATGTAGTAACACATAAATCAATATGTCTAATACTTCAACTCCCACTTATCATTTGTTTCGTAATATGACAAACTTGGACAATAGAAACTATTCAATATGTAAGAATTAAACAGGGGGAAGGGGGGGCATTGCACTATGACTCGATAAACGACAGAAAGACAACACTCAATAAATAGAAAACTCAAGTTTTATAAACACAAACCACATCAGGAATAATAATCTTTATTCCAAAAGCAAAACAGTTGAAGGTTGCCTATAATTGCTTACATCCACTTCATTTGAACTTTGGTGGATAGTTGTCTCATTAGCTATCATACCACATCTCCTGGTGGATAGTTGTCTCATTAGCTATCATACCACATCTCCTGGTGGATAGTTGTCTCATTAGCTATCATACCACATCTCCTGGTGGATAGTTGTCTCATTAGCTATCATACCACATCTCCTGGTGGATAGTTGTCTCATTAGCTATCATACCACATCTCCTGGTGGATAGTTGTCTCATTAGCTACCATACCACATCTCCTGGTGGATAGTTGTCTCATTAGCTATCATACCACATCTCCTGGTGGATAGTTGTCTCATTAGCTATCATACCACATCTCCTGGTGGATAGTTGTCTCATTAGCTATCATACCACATCTCCTGGTGGATAGTTGTCTCATTAGCTATCATACCACATCTCCTGGTGGATAGTTGTCTCATTAGCTACCATACCACATCTCCTGGTGGATAGTTGTCTCATTAGCTATCATACCACATCTCCTGGTGGATAGTTGTCTCATTAGCTATCATACCACATCTCCTGGTGGATAGTTGTCTCATTAGCTATCATACCACATCTCCTTATTTTTATATAGGTATCGGTACAATAATTATTATTGTAGTCTTCATACGATTTAAAACAATTTTGAAGCATGGTACATATAAAACAATTTAATACTATCTTGAAGTATGATATTGATAAATACATTCTTGTAGTATGTTATAGTTTAAGCAGTATTTTTATTCAAATAAACTGAATTGGAGTATGGTATACACTATTACCATCTAAGAACGCTTTCGATAATATGTTAATACTACCCAATATTATAAAGTTCATTAATATAACAAACAGATAACAATTGCATAAGTTTGCATACTGATGGATTTCTCCAGAAATAAAGTTTTATATATGTATACAAATGTCTTTACATTTAATAATCAGAAAGTGTGTTTAGGAGCGCCAGTATGGTAAAATGGGCACCCACTGCCTGTTGAATGGCATACTCTTTCTCATGACAAGCAAAGATCCCGCTCAGTGTTGTCATAAACATAGCAATTAAGGATTGCGGAATAGAGGCAAATATAAATGAACATAACCTTGCCCAACTCTGTCCTTTTATAACGATAAAACAATTCACTACTTCCGGTTTGCTCAGTCTCTACTTTTTGTGTAGTGGTTTGTAGACTATTTGTCTTTTATGATAGATGACTTATGATTTTTTTTATATTCCATTGATTTCGTTTTATTTTTTATTTTCCCCTTTAGAACTTATTTTGTGCTAGCGTTCCTAGTTATAATGCTCTCTAAGCATCCCGTAGAAATCATGGTAATGAGCACATTTTGACAAAATAATGTGGCGGTTTTTTTTTTTAATATTTCCTTGTTCAAATTATTGGTCGTCCGGGTTGTTGTGCACTGTGCATGCTATTATTATGTGTTTTAGTTTTATGGCATGTGGTCTAGATAGCCAATTTGATAGGAAGTTGATGTTGAGGGTCACGAACACATGATGTTTAGGTGGAAAAGACTTTATGTGTGTTGACGATAAAGGTAACGTTATAGTCCGGGAATTGACAAATACACCGTTTGACACATGCAAACTGGTGTCAACGGACCAAAGTCTCGATATACTGATAAAGACACAAATATTATACAACTACGAACTGATCAATAGATTTATTACCGCAAATGGGTCAGTAGTGTTATCTTATAAGCCATAGTTTTGGTAATTCAAATCATGGAAGTATCATAGATAATCCATCCATGCACTGTGATATATACAGGATAAGTGCAGTATCAATATTTTCTTTAAACGGTGCTATAAATCGTATCCATTCGATTATATTAGACTTCATTAATCAATCTGTTCGGAAAGGTATAGTTCTATTGGAAAATATATTTTAATGAAGTTTCTAAGGAAAATAAAAACTTCTAGACTAATGCTACTTTGGAGTTGCATCATTGCGATTAAAGAAGTTGGACGTGTTAGCTAATGATGCAGGTTTGGAGAATAGATAATATAACGTGAATGTTGTAGGATTGGATGATATATTATTATCACACAATTTATAATGATATCTTTGACTGTTCTTTGCTGTTATGCATATGTATATTCACAGACAAATCTCAATGAATAAGAAAAACGTTTGACACAAGACTATATATAATGGCTTCCTTACAAAGGTCTAGTAAATCAACAAGACCTTTATATGTCTATTTTATATGGAGGTTGACAGCCTCGTGACTTTAACCACACATCTCCTTTTTATTCTAACGCCATACAAGTAAATAATCGTTAATAATATAGTGTCTTGCCTAGCCGATGAACACCACAAATGGGTCAGCAGTGTTATCATATATGGGGTATTACATACCATCTATCTTTTGAGAAAAGTATTTATACAAACTTAATCTAATGAGATAAATGTGACAGGTATTTTATATTGTCATGTTTATTTAAATTATGTTATCCTATAATATGTAAAGATAGACATTGCAATCACGAGGAAGTGGTGGTCGCCTTCAAAAGAAAATTTGCAAATCAAGACATATGTATGATACTCAAAAACCCCTTTGGATATTCCTATTACATTTATTTACTTATTCGTGCATATAAAGTTAAGTTCTAAACTTCTGTCAGTAATGCTTGCCTTGTTTTTACATTTACTATTTCTGTTTCTCTCATTGTTTTTGTCGGATCTTTTTTATAAAGTTTATATGATAAACCAGAGAGTAGAAGAATATATCAAATGATACTATACCATTGTGCAATTTATGGAAAGTAAGTACCTTTCAGATTGGATTGATTTAGTTAGGTTATCATATATGGGAATAGACATATAAAATCACATTATGAGGTTAATTAATACTTAAATGTTTGTTTTCGTTTATTTCAGAGAATGCCTTACAATCTGGGATGGACGAAACTGTTAGTGAAACTTTCTTGTGTGATTTTGATAGCGTGTAGCCTACTATACTGGACGCGATATCATATATTACTTTATGAAGGTAGAAATAATAAACAATTAACAGATTTTTCAGTGAAATCGACGTTAAGACAACTGTACAAAGAACGAGTGCAAAATAATATTCCACTTGATTTTACGTTTATTGACAATAGCTGGAAATTATCTAAACTGTGTAAACCATACAAAATGTTCCTAAATAAGAGTGATTTCCCTTTGATTAAGTATACATCAAATGCTGGAAGCGTGAAAATATTTACACACTCTTTAGACGATGGAATATCATCTATAATCAACAGAACAGGTGCTTTTGAAGGGAAGACAATAAACAGAATATTATATGAGTTGAAACTAAATCCACATTTAAATTTAATCGATATTGGAACAAATATTGGACAGCATTCTATAGCTGCAGCATTAATCGGGCGTGACTCGATTGCAATTGACGCTGCAAAATCAAACATCGAACACGTGTGTGCGTCTGCCCATTATTTAAATATTGGATCGCGAATAACATTGATTCATAATATTTTGTCCGATACGCATGGACAACGGCAGTTCCGATACAGTGCAAAAAACAATGATTTCGGATCTATACATGTTAATTCTGATGGAATATGGGACAAAATGAAGAAACAATACAATGGATATTTTAGTAATAACACGGTCAAAGAAAATTCCGTCACATTAGATGACATTTTATACCTTCCACAGATACATAAGTTTAAAAAAGTATTTGTTAAACTTGATGTCGAGGGTCACGAACACAGGGTGCTTTTAGGTGGAAAAGAATTCTTCAAACGACTAGATGTGCATGGTATAATAATGGAGTGGGCGTGGCATGTAAAGCGACAGTCAGCTGAAATAATCAAATCTTTTATGACTGAATGGAAATTTAAACCATTTAAGATGTTCGAAACAGAAGAGAGAGATCTTAGTGCAATACATTCTGACCAGTGGCCACAAGATGTTCTGTGGCTTCCATTAAAGCATTTAAATTATTGAAAAATAGTAATGTTATATAATTTTAACACTCTTTTTACCACAAAGTCAATAGCTATAGAAATCAACACGTGAAAACGTATACAAAGAAGGGAGATGGAATCTAAGAAAAACGAATAAACAGTTCACAAATTACTGCACAAAAGACTAACACGGGAAACACGAGTCCCGACAAAAAAACCGGGGAGAATACATTTTTGGATGGGTCGGCAGTTTAAACTATAACCCCACCATATAAACCCGTTCCGTTGAAATCAGTTAATGCTTCATAAAAGAGAGGCGAAATAGACCAAAGGGACATTCAAACTCATAAGTCGAAAATAAACTGACAACGCCATGGCTAAAAAAGAAAAAGACCAACAGGCAAAGAACAGTACACAAAACACAACATAGAAAACTAAAGACTGAGCAAAACGAACCCCACCAAAAACTGGAGGTGATCTCAGGTGCTCCGGAAGGGTAAGTAGATCCTGCTCCACATGTGGCACCGTCGTGTTGCTCGTGTTAGTACAAACCCGGTATAAAGTCTAATTCGGTGGGTCACATTCGGGGAGAAAAAAGGGACTGGATTGTAGTTACGACAATTGGAACATATCCGACCGCTATCATCTGTGAAACGGATATTCCATAACGGTCAACCAACTCGTGATGGCGTCCGTAATTTAATCGATGAAGTAACTGAGACAGAAATCCCAGAAGTGAGAATGTAAGTACATAGACATAAACATAGAAATTGTATTTAAATTAAAATCGGTAAAAATAACAAAAGCTTTGTAGAGCTTTTAGCCGACACACAAACATGACATAATGACACAAACAGTACAATCTGAATATAAACATAATCATAACTTGTGATAAGCAAGCTCTTTTTCATTTCACTTATTGTAATATTATTTTTTCAGATCAACAGAAGACAGTGGTCCTGTAACTTCATGTCAACTAGTCAATACACCCACACGTCATAGAACACGACACAATTCATCCCACACAACAAATTTTAAAGAAAGCTTTAAATCTAATAGGCCCTGGCTATACTGCAAGAATGAGCAAACTGATGATGACATTGAATTCGAAACTATGTACTGCTCCCTTTGTCAGAAGTGGAACAAATGGAAGTACCACTTGGAACAAAAGTGGTTGTGTTTCAATGCGTCAAGACGTCATTAAAAATCATGAGTTGTCCACAATGCACAGAACTGCAGTTTCAATGGAATTGAGTGATCAAGATAGTTATACTGAAACTGTCAATGAATTGAACAATAAAGAATCTCAAGCTTTAGTTGATGCCCAAAAAGTTTTATTTTTTCCGATAAAACACAGTTTGCCTTATACTACTATATTTTCACCACAAATAGACTTGTGCATTAAACTTGGTGCTGAAAATTTGTCATATTTGAAAAAAGGAAAGTCTGCATCTTATACTAGCCATACTGTAGGTGCCCTTTTGTTAATTTTTCATACACTCTAGGTACCCTTTTTATAAATTTTTGCGCGCTCTAGATGCCCTTTTTCAATTAAGTTACGATGCCCTTTTTGTGTGATAGGGGAAACACTACGTAAAATACGAAGGGATGATTTCAACTTCACCACTTGGAACTCTTGGTTTGATAGCTTTGTAAGCAGCAACCCTCTATCAAGGAAATCCTGATTGGAAATACAAGCCCTGGAATATTGTATCAACTGGGAGATGTATACTCCGTATGCAGGCGCTGTTGAACCCTATAGACATTCCAAATTTATAAATTGTCTATACATGTACATATTTTGGACAAGATTGTGAAGATATAAACAAAGACAAATTACATACAGAAGCAGCACAGACATTTACAAACAATATCACAAAATGCCAAACAACTAAATTAACAAGAACAACACGAACCCCTTTAAGAAATAGTATTGGACTCATATACCTCGGAAGGCTTGGCAGATTCTGCTCCACTTGTTGTACCGATCGTGTTACTCATGGGGATATTCTGCTCCACTTGTTGTACCGATTGTGTTACTTATGGGGAGATTCTGCTCCACTTGTTGTACTGATCGTGTTACTCATGGGCAGATTCTGCTACACTTGTTGTACTGATCGTGTTACTCATAGGCAGATTCTGCTACATGTGTTGTACCGATCGTGTTCTCATGGGCAGATTCTGCTACACTTGTTGTACCGAACGTTTTACTTATGTGCAGATTCTTCTCCTCTTGTTGTACTGATCGTGTTACTCATGGGCATATTCTGCTACACTTGTTGTACTGATCGTGTTACTCATTGGCAGATTCTGCTACACTTGTTGTACCGATCGTGTTACTTATGTGCAGATTGTACCGAACGTTTTACTCATGTGCAGATTCTTCTCCACTTGTTGTAACGATCGTGTTACTCATGGACAGATTCTGCTCCACTTGTTATACTGATCGTGTTACTTATGGGCATATTCTGCTCCACTTGTTATACTGATCGTGTTACTCATGGGCAGACTCTGCTCCACTTGTTATATTGATCGTGTTACTCATGGGCAGATTCTGCTACACTTGTTGTACCGATCGTGTTACTCATGGGCAGATTCTGCTACTCTTGTTGTACCGATCGTGTTACTCATGAGCAGATTCTGCTACACTTGTTGTACCGATCGTGACTTTAAAAAATGACTTATTCTAGTTTATAACTGTAATTAAGTGAAGGACAATATCAAATATTCCCAATAACTCACCAAAACATATTACTACGTTGATCAAAATTAACCTTTTTCAATTTAATGCAAATTTTCTGTTCGGAAAACGTTCTACCACAACTTTCCAGCGTTAAATTAGAAATTACTGGATCCTTTATAAAATATAGAACATAGTGCAGGGGACTCATAATCTTTTCAACTTCATTTCATGCTACTTTTGTTTTTACAGTTAATAATATTTTTTGAGGTGAACCCCGGAGTTTTTAAAAAGGAGTAGGAAACCTACTGGTAAGCAGTGAAGAATCAGAAAATTGCTATGTAATAAAAAATATTCTACTAAAAGAGGCCTGCCCCCGCCCCACAAAAAAATCCATTTATAAAAAAAAAACCACACACACACTTAATCCGCCCCATTTTTATTACCATTGACAATAAAATTTGAATTAAATTTCATAATTATATAATTAACAATACACTATATGTATGTTAGTCTCAATCCAAATTGTCTATGCTTACATTGGATTGTTGACATCACGAATATACACTGTACATGTAATTTATAAGATATGACAAACAATAATATATACAAATGAACGATACTTGTTTATAATATGTAAGTGTTAGTACACCATTATCAAACTGATGAATGCATTGGTTTCGTGCCTTGAACAGTAACTAAATTTGAACCTTCTTTTATTATTTTTAAACGTAAATACACTGACACATAACATGTTAAGCTATAGGCAATTTGTATGATCACTCGATAAAACACAGACGCACTCGAAAATACCCAGACTGTTCTCGAAAAAACCCGGACATATAGAAATGAATTTAGTCTCAAAATGTCGTTTTCAATGCAATATCAAGAATTTTTGTAAAGAGTCTGCATTTCTAAGAATATATAGATTCCATGTATGCATTTCCTACGACATTTGCATTGGTATGTGTATAAAAATGGCTTTATTCTGTATTTTGGAATAAAGCATTGTAAGGCTAAATTTAACTTTTTTAACGAAAAATAATGTCGAATTGATAATATCTTTTTATCTCAAATACTAACATACCTTGAATAACCTTGTAAATTAAACTCAAGCTTCTATATCACGTCTAGTCAGAAAGGAAGTCTGTTTGTTTACATTTTTGATCATATTCACTCGAAAAAAGTGGTCACACTTGAAAAAAAATCCGATCAAATCACTCGAAAAACCACGATCCTAGCCGGACACTACACCTACCGTGCTTAAATACACTTTAAATTTAAGGTTCTGTAATTAATTTAAGGAAAACATGGTATTTTACCATAAAAATATAATGACATATCTATATTTACATGAACGTATAAACCTGAAAAATATAAAAATATAAGTATAAATAATATGAATTTTGATATTGGATAAACGTCAATGAGACATCAACACAACAACAGAATGGCTAAAGGGCTTCTTAATGTCAACATACGCTCTTTACAGCACAGAGATTATCAACGATCTGCCAATATTTTTCTACTTAATTCAAAAGAACAAAATAAAAACAACAACACTAAAAAAGATATACAGAACAGGTAGATGTACATGTTGCGGGGTAAACTATTGTCTTTTTAGATCTAAATTTCCATTTCGATCGGTGGCGTATGAAAAAGAAGTTCATCGGAAACATACAAACATAAGAATGAGCTCTAGAATACCTGAATAAAGAGAACAAAGACAAAGATGTAAAACAATGATATAACGTATCAAAGAATGGTTGTCGTTCAGAGATGAACATGTTACATACAATATAGTTATTTTAAATTTTACAGAGACTTTAGTATACCTTTCAATCAACTTGAAATTTTTGATTTGGGTTACTATTTTGCTCCAATCTACTGGAGGACAATTCATAAAGGAAACAAATGGTAATCGTTAGCCTAACAATTCCGACTGAAAAGTTAATATATAATGCTATTTTGAGGCAGACCCAACCTCTGACAAATGAGACACATGCGACATGTGTAAGTCGTACGAAGGTCATGTAGATTTACTTACTCTAAAAGGTAAAACATTGAGGACTTAAATCTTCACTTTTGTCGGATATTTTTTCTTTCTTCTTTTAATATTTTTCAAGCAAAGAGAGATAACTCCAATATAAAACATGTTCCATCATCATTAATAAATACAGTAAAAGTGTGTCTATAGTATTAATCATAAAAGAGAGGCGAAAGATACCAAAAGGGACACTCAAAATCATTAGTCGTAAATAAACTGACAATGCCATGGCAAAAAAAGAAAAACTACCAAAAGCTAGAGCTACAACAGTATAGAAAACACAACATAGAAAACTAAATACTGAGCAACACGAACCCCACCAAAAATCGGATGTGATCTCAGGTGCTCCGGAAGGTTAAGCATATTCTGCTTAGGTTATATATCACTCAAACACTAAAGTATCGGTAATGCTGTTTCTCAGGACCTCCGGAGGTGTTGTTTGTTAAGTACTAATGTAGTAAAGCTATTAACGGCAATTCATAAAAGTCAAAAACAAAACTGCAATCAACGGGGCAAATTAAGCCCCATCAGAAGACCAATCACTTTACGGCATACTATGCATGTACAACGCTGCCTTTATCCGCTTCGTTTGGTGTCTGGTGGATAGTTGTTTCCTTGGCAATCATACCACACCCACTTATCTTGTATTAACATCAGCTATGTTACAAAATCTTATAATGTCGTCTATAAATACCACAAAATATTTTCTCATCTTTTTCATTAAATAATTATCCCCACAAAGATAAATTGACTTAGTCAATGGTCATTTGATAGACATCACACAAACACTTACAGCATATGCTTAAACTTAGAGTGGAGACAAAACAAATATACTAATTTAAACATCAATTTAGGATCCAAATCGAAATTAAGGTGCAAAAAAGTATGCATCATGCATCTAGTGGTGGGATAAATGTTGAGAGATAGTCATAATTCTCAAGAAAGCATTTAACATTGACAGTGGCAGTTAATCAAGGAAATAAAACAACAAACATGTAAGTTGTATGGCAATCATTCAAGGTTAATACAAATGAAATTTTGCGAGAAGATAAAATTACAAAAGTTTCAAGTTTGAATATCCCTTTCGTAGCTCTTAGGTAAACACGTAGCAGTCCACATAATCAACTTTTATAGTTTAACTTTTACACAGATCCAGAATCTGATGCAGAAGTTTCCTTAAGCATTATCATTGAATTAATGTGGAACAAACTCTGAAAAAGTCAGATATTATGTATATGATATCGAACAGATATTGGGCATGTCTAGTCTGTTATATTGGTTTCTTGGCAAGAAAAATTATGTCCGTTTTGATGATTTGTTGGTTTCTTGAAGAGAGACAGTATTTCTTTTCTTATTTTTCTGCTCATGGTAATGTAAACTATAAAATTTGATAGACATCCCAATAAAATAAAAATTCGGATACCTTCCACCAAAAATGCAAATGTCATAAATCTGTGCCAATAGGAACCATTTACTAAATCTGTATACTTTACAATTATCCCTGTGAGAACACGTTGACAGTTAACCACTAGCGATATAGATACATCCGAATTGTCAATAGTGTTGATTATAAAATCACCTGCTATATA